TTTACTATGTGAAGAAAAATGTATGCATATTTCCTCACTAATTTTAAATCTCACTTACTGAACACTGCAAGTATCAAGAAAGCTTTGAATTTTACAAAGTTCATCTTATCCCAGAGAATCTGGAAATCTAAAATGGTGGAATTGGAAAAACAAATTCAAGATGAATATTTCTGATTTGCGCCCTCTAATTTGGAGAAGTTAGATGCTATTGTTTAAGTTCTTTAATACTGTAAAATGACCAATTTTCACGGGGTTTAAATTTTGCTAATTTACCATTTCAGTGGTTTTTAAATCTGTTTTATCATTTAGATAATGTGTTCTATGCTACATTTTACATATTCCCTGGGTTTTAATTTAGCAAACTTTCCATTTAGAGAAATAAGCAAAATTAAAACCCAGTGAATAATTAACTCTTTTACAGTAGTCTGAATGCAAATCAGAAATGTTGACCTTAATCCAGCAATTTGTATTCAAGACTAAAATTCAAGTTCTAATTTGGAACAATTCTTCAAAACAAGTTGGCCAAGGGCAAAGTACAAACCAACCAATGCAACCAGTAGGATGAGCCTCCAAGCCAATAAGGATTTAGTCTCATCAATGCAAATCTAGCATACCGGTATTTCATACCTTCAATGTCATGCTACAAATATTGAACTAAAATCATGTTAATGCCTGGTGTGCATGCATGCATTCATTCATTCATTCAGTCCATTAGCATCATACACCAGCAATTCTGCCAAACGCTCAATTTTGTCAAGGTATACAAGTCCAACTATCTTGTAGGTAGAATCTTGTATTGGGAACTAGGATATACTGATCAATCCACAAACAATCACTGCATCAAAGACAATGTGAAAGTAATTGTCAGAGGATGCAGTTTGACAGGTTTTTTTTTGACTTAAAACATTTTGCGTTGTATATATGCTTTCACTGAAAACGTTCACAGCAGAAATGATACAACCTTTCCCGAACAACATTCATTTTATTGTAAACAAAAATACAAAGAAAGAATATCAGAAGTTACAGCACAAATGCAGCTGTAAATACAAGACATGACTTATTTCAAAACAAAATAAATCCAAGCAGACCCCTTAGTTGTTTAGCCCCACCCTTTAAATACAATGGGAGATTCCGTCAGTGGTTTAACCCACTGTCGACCTCAATAAACAAAAGGTATGTACAGAAGAAGCAACTAAAAAAAAAAATTAAATTATCAACTGCATAGATTCCATTGAATTGTACATTATAGTTCTTTAACATTTATAGAATGGAAATGAAGCATACACCACTTTTGTCACAATTGCGTCAATCTGATCAAATGCATATGCAGGGAGACAATGTTTTATCTGCTCTTCCATACACATTAAGAAACATGTAATGTGGCAGAGCAAAAAAAAAATGAAGTCTATACCTCTATCTTATCAGATGCACATATACCCAAATATCTAATAATTTGAAAGGTAGACAATACACAGGAATGGCGACATGAACATTTATAAATATAGTTAAGAGAAACTAGTGTTAATGTGGCCTGCCTCTCCCTCTCCCTCTTGGTTGTTGATTTCCCCCCGATTGTGGATTTTTAACAGTTTCGTCGACTGACAATATAAGACAAGCTGCTTCGGATGCCGCTGTGATGGCATTCATTTTGACAATAGCCGGTTCCCAGACGCATGCTACAAGGTTATCTGCTATATCTTCATTGTTGATGTCCACCCCATACCACATTTCACCTGCAAATGAACAATTATAAATTTCATGAGCGATTGAGGGAAAAATGTGTAAAAAAAATGGGTGCACCTGGTTGAGTCAGTTGTACAAGTTATTTATGTAGATCAAACGAATAGTCGTGATATAGTTCGCCATTCTGAGCAGCTGGAATATACATGACATTTTATAAGTCGACTATTATTTTCTGTATTTAAAGCATATATTTGTAATGTAAATTTATTTATATATTTGAGTTGTGTAAATTCATTTATATGTTTATGGACATTTTGTTGGTTTATTTACAAGTACCATAAATGAAAATATATTATCATATACATTTGTGTTATTATTTGATAATAGTTCAGCCTGGGAAAGACAGGGGAATTTGTCCACCCTTGGCTTATAGTTGAAATCGTGACAGTGGGCCAAATAATCAATGCTAAGTTTTCTGGGTTCCTGAGTTGTGCCACTAGATGCATACACAGAGTATCTCCAATTTGTGACAGTGTTGTATCTGAATTTATTAAACAAGGGATTTTCAGTATTCTGAGTTTTCAGAGAAAAATTACTATGCATGTTTGAGAAATCCTATATCATTGCCATAAAGTGATTTACAGTGGCCATCATCTCCACCAATGCCATCAAATTTTATAGCATTTTTTATGATGTATATTAAATGCACTAAATGAGCAAATCTGATGTGCTATAGATGAAAAAAAAAATTATGGCACACAGAGAAAACTCAAAGCTAAACATAAGTATTTTTACTTACCCTGGAAGTGTTTTTGTCTGAGTTTATTAAGTATGTTAGTGGCATCAAAGCCAGCGTTGTCGCATAGCTGTCTGGGAATGCATTCAAATGCTTTTGCCATTGCTCCAATGAGAACCTGTTCTTTGCCTGCTATACCACGCGAGTAGTCACGCAAGTATTTACTGAGCTCCATCTCAATGGCTCCGCCACCTGCAAATAGTAACCATGACAATTTGTATATTCATACAAGATTCACTCACTATACAGTGTATTTATTCTTTAACTTGACCACAATATTTATAAGATTAAGTAAATGCAGCTTTGTTACTCATTAGTCAATAAGATTATTCACTAAACAGGTGGGCACACTCAAAATCATTACCATGCCTAAATAAACATGACACTTGTTTTTTTGGTAATACAAGCAACTTACAATCAGTATGATAATGTGATTACAAACGAAAGAAAAAATTAATAGACCATTTTCCCGTACACTGCGAGAATCACGCGTTATGCGTGAAATCAAACGTAAAAACAGGACAAACAAAGGTCATAGCGTTGTAGTGGCGTCAAACATCGCGTGGGATTCGACAAACGCGAAGTATTTTGGGGGACATTTCCATGCTTAATAATGTGCTGTCCACTTTTGATGATAGGCAATTTCGATTATGTAAGGGTATTCGGAAGCAATATTCCTCTGTCGAAGATCGGCCGGTCAGTGTGAGCTACGAAATAAAGAAATTAGAGTTCAAAATCAAATCGTTCGATTTTTGCGGCAGACGTTTGACGCACGTCTTTCATGCATCTCGCGAGATCTCACAATTGTACGGAAAATCACCTATTCTATAAAACATACGATTATGAGAAGTTGATAAACGTTTTACAAAAGCAGGACTTGAACTTTTTCAACAAATAAAAGCAAGATTTGGCAAGATTTGAACGAATTAAAGATTTCTACCAAGCATTTAAACATTCTTTCACATTTAGGAAAACCACTTTATATATCTGCATACATGCATGCATGCATTCATTCAATGAAGGATACCGTTAACCCTTTACCCCACCAGTTCCCTACTTTTTCTCACAAATTCACAAAATAGTCCTGTTTATATAGTCTGCACTTTCCTTCAGAAGATTGGGACAAAAAATAGCCAAATTGTTTGAGTAAAATGGAAAAAAAACTGAAATTGTTTCTGTTGGCTCCAAAAAAAAACAAGCAGCCTATCGACTGAGATAGCTCCGCTGTTAGGAATGCACATTTCAATTAAAGAACTGAAGACATCATTAGAAAATGAACAATATGTATAGTATCAAAGCAATCGGACTTGCAGTTTTTAACAAGAAGTCGAAAATATCACTTTCTACCAAAAATGACCAAAATATTCACCAAAATTAGAGAATTGAAGATATCATCACGAAATGAACAAATCTGAGAAAGGTCTACATGTAGTATCTATATATGTAATATCAAAGCAATTGAACTATTGGTTTTTTAAAAGAAGTCAAAAATATCACTTTTTACCAAAAATTACAAAAATATTCACCAAAATTAGAGAATTGAAGGCATCATCACAAAATGAACAAATCTGAGAGAGGTCCACATTTAGTACCTATATATGTAGTATCAAAGCAATTGGACTTGTGGTTTTTAACAAGAAGTCGAAAATATTACTTTTTACCAAAAATGACAAAAATATTCACCAAAATTAGAGAATTGAAGATGTCAACATGAAATGAACAAACCTAAGAGAGGTCTACCCAAGGTACATATACACCAAGTATCAAAGCATTCAGGCTTGTAGTTTTCAAGAAGTCGAAAAAGTAAAACATTGACACGGACGACGGAGACGGACAATCACTCATATGATAAGCTCAGCTCGACAAAGTCGACAGCGGAGCTAAAAAGTATAAAATAATTGGGCGAGAAAGTCTGGTGGTGAAAAGGTTAAATCAGACAACACTAGCACACCCAACGGAAACAGTACCTGCAACTACAGCGTCATTCTTGATAGCTCTTCGTACAATCATAATAGCATCATGTAAAGATCGTTCAGTTTCATCTATAAACTGTTCGGCACCACCACGTAATATAATCGTACACGTCTTAGCCTGTGGACAGCCAGTAAATATATTATACCTTTCTCCACCTATTTGCTGCTCCTCAAATGATTCACAACTACCTAAGACATCTTTTGTCAGCGACTCTATAGATGTCTGTATCGCACCACCACAAGCTTTCATTGTACGTTTCAA